GCAAGAGGAAGGGAAATGTGAACTAGTGATGAGGAGATAGAGGGGTTGATGGAAACCTGTGGTCATGAGTGTGCAAGAGGAAGGGAAATGTGAACTGGTGATGAGGAGACAGAGGGGTTGGCATGGTGAGCCCTGCTCCACTATCTGATGATGTGGAATGTCCTTCTGTATAAGTGTTGCTTTTATTGGTTAATGAATAAAGTTGTTTTGGCAAATGGCTGAGCAGAATAAATCCAGGCAGGAAATCTAAAGAGAGAGAGAGAGAGAGAGAGAGAGAGAGAGAGAGAGAGAGAGAGAGAGAGAGAGAGAATAGGTGGAGTCAAGGAGATGCCATGTAGCTGCTGAAGGAGACACACTGAAACCTTACTGGTAGGACACAGCCTCATAGTGATATGTAGGTGAAAAGAAATGGGTTAATTTAAGACACAAGAGCTAGCTAGGAATATACTTGAGACATTGGCCAAGTGGTGTTGTAATTAATGTAGTTTCTGAGTGATTATTCATGTCTGAGCAGCTGGAAAGTGAACATGCAGTCTCTTTCTACAATCTGTAGCTGGAAGTATAGGAAGTGGAGCCAATTTTGGAATGCTGAACACAAGTTCTGCATAAGGAGAAAAGTCCAGGACTGAGGAATGATCAAGAAATGATGAACATTGAGAGCTGAACATTCTGAGCTGGCCTTCTGAGGAAGAACAGGGCTCTTACTCCAGGGATCCAGGCTAATAAAGCTGGGAAAGCTGACCTTTGCTGAGGCCTATTCCCAACTAGCTCTTAAGACTTAAATTAACTTATTTATATTGGTCTACTTTCTGCTATGTGGCTTGTTACTTCTCCTTCATACTGCACATCCCACTTTCTCTACATCTCGCTGGTGAATTCTCTGCCTCAGATTCTTCCCAGAGTGCCTATCCTTGCCCAGAAGTGCCTATCTTCTTCTGCCTTACTATTGGCCATTCAACTCTTTATCAAACCAATCAGAAGGTGCCTTGGCAGTGACACATCCTCACAGTATATAAAAAATATTATCCCACCACAGGGAGGGGGTTGATGAAGATATTATTCATCTTAGGACTGAGTATTCCAAAGTCTCTCACTGTCTGTACATTGTCCAGTTATGGGCCTCTGTGTTAGTTTCCACCTACTTCAAGAAGCTTCTCTTATGATGCCTGAATGAGGCACTGTCCTATGGGTATAGCATATTGTCATTAGGTGTAATTTTATTGCATGCTTGTTTAGCAGAATAGCCCTCTGGGTTTCCCTAGGCCCGTGGTCTATCTAGTCTCATGTTCTTGGTCACTTTTGCAGTATCAAGTACGGGTTACATCTCATGGAATGGGTCTTAAATCCAATCAGAAAGTGGTTGATTATTCCCATATCATTTGTGCCACTATGATGCCAGTACCTCATGCAGGCTGGTTACTGTTTTGTACCTGGGTTGATGGTGACCTTTCTATTTTGGTAGCATGCAGACTCCCTCCTGGTGCCATGAATGCTAGTCAGTAGTCTTGAGTTAGGCAACAGCTTGATTTCTCTGTCTTCAATGAGATGTGTAAGTGTTGTCTTTGCCATCAGTTGTGGAGAGTAGCCAGTAGCCTTTGTAATAGTCTGTTTAGATGTTTCTATGGGGCCCTTTTGTCCAATGTCCTTGTTATATCAATAAGATATAACCCATTCCTGACACTGGTTGTTTTATTGCATGACAAAAGATGTCTAGTTGGGGCACTATCTCCACATTATTTGGGGACTCCATTTAGATTCCATTCATGTATGTATGTATTTTAGAAAATTTCTACAGTAGTAGGTTTCCACACAGGTTTCATAAGACCTTTAGCGTTATTTGTCCCTTCCCCTATTCTTTCTTCTTCCATACTCTCCTGAGTTAATCTTCCTGTTCCAGGTTCCCCTTAGCCTCTCTATAACACTCTGTCCTATTTCCCCTTCATTGGAAGCTCCCCAGCTCCCCCGCCCACCCCAGTCCCACATTAGGTATAACTGTGGTTCTAAGTACTGAGTGTGCTCATTGAAAGCTTCAGTGGGTCAGGGGAGGTGAGGGCAGCAGTGGAAAAATAGGCTGCTTTCCAGACCTGATTCCTTCTCCCTGCATTGTGCTGTCTTTGCCGGACACCTAGTTTTTTGCCCTAATGTCTTACAAGCCCCACCCAGTGCCTTTCTCTACTACCTTTCATGAAGGCAGGGTGAGAAACAGAGAGAAAAAGTCCGTGATACCATCCTGGCTGTTAACGTCTTCCTACTGCTTCTAGTGAGGATTCTGCCCTCTCTGTCCAGATAATCGGCCCCAGGTCTCCCATTTGTACTCCCAACTGCTTGCTGCTTCTTATCAGATGATTCTTAATCAAAGAACGATTCTGTAATTAAGATTTACTTATTGAACATTTATTATATTAGTGCAGAAGACCAAATAATATGAGAAAGATATTCTGGTTTCAAAGAGTCAAATCTGCACTCTCCTCCTTTTGAGACAAGGTCTGAAACCCACAATCCTCCTGCTCTGCCTCCTGAGTATTGCCACTCCAGGCCTGCACTACCAGACAGGACTGGAACAATTTTTCTTAAAGGGATTTGGAAACAACAAGCCAAGCTGTAATTTGCCATGGAGAGGTGTGAATTCTGCACAGGGACATTGGCTTTGCTCATTAAGGCTCAATTATAACAAGTCCTTGCCAACTCCTGGGCTTTCTGCACTCTCTCTAAAGAGAAGGTCCAGTCCCTCCCCCTGCTTCCTTCCCACTTTGTTTGCAAATTAAGTTCCAGGTGTTCACATAATGAATAATTATGTAATGCTGAAGAACACATCTTTTAGCATCCAATTAACGTTGTTTGTACCATATTGAAAAGGGCCCATCAATAAGATGAATGTCTTTCATTTGCTCTGGATTATAGCTTTGTATTGAGACAGGTACAACTTATTTAAACAGGAAAAACAAACCCAAGGTTTAATGTAAGTGGCGCAGTGAGTCATTTCCCAGGAGACCAAACAATGGCGACTCCTCACCGAATCACACAGGGTTTCGGCTAGTTCAGAAGCTAGGCACAGATGTTGCCCTGTTCCTTGTACTTGGTAAGCATGAGTCTTCTGAGCTAACCTGAAGCATGCCTCTCTTGTTATATATTTTAGGATTGCTTTGCTTTCTGCCCTGAGAATTAGAAATGAGAAAGGTTTAACTAGCAAGAACAAATGGGATGCTTATTTACTGATAGATGTTGCCTCCTACTGTAAGCTCTCACCTATTTGGAAATGCAGCTTTTAAACCATCTTTCTGGAAATGTAAATTAAAAGATAAATTTTTATTCTGACTCCTTAGTAGCAAAGGCATCATAGACCACACACTCAAGAGTTCTTATCCACGTCTTGTATCTCCCAAAGCATAACTGCACTGTGTTATCTGCTATGTCCAGAGTAGGCATTAATATGTATTTGTCAATGGAATAATTGAGCAATAGGAGATAAGGGATTAAATTTCTACAACAGAACTTTGAGGAGTGTGAAGAGGCTAACTGAAAATGTAATATTGCTTTG